TGTGTTTGTTTGTCTTATGGCTGTGTTTGTATATATACCACAAATTTAACAAAACACACGGATTATTAAATTAGTGTTAATTAAAACTGTAACTAAGAAATTATATTAAAATAATAACTTAAAAAGTAGTTCAAAATTGTTGGGTCAAAGTAATCACAATGAAATCTATTAACTTAATGATCATTTTAGTGTAAGAATATTTTATATTTATTGCTAGAATGTATAAACAAATTATTACTTTTAGTATTGTTTTCGCAGAACATAATTTTTATAGATAAATATTTGAAATATAGCAGATACCTAACATAACGCATTACAACAAAATTTGTTTTAATAATAAACTTCATTAATTTATTTCTAATTATCATATTAATCACAAATATTATTGTTCTATATTGTGGACCTTTGATATATTAATTAGTTGACATGTGTAATTGTTGTTTACTTACGTAAATATTAAATGAATATAAAATCAAGTATAAATTAAAACTACAAATAAATGCATTAATTAAAATTGTGTTTAACTATTATTTTATCATAATTTGCAATTTTATTTATGTAATTATATTAATTAATTGTTAATAAATTATATCCTATAATATTTAGATATTTAATAATACTAAAATAGGTTGACTTTAAAATTTTATAAAATCTATATTTTGCACTAAATTGCTAACTTAACAATTTAAGTAATTATAATTAGTTCAGTTCTCCCATTTATGGGAAATAACAGAATCAATGTAAATTTAATCATAAATATTATGAAATATATAAATACTGTAAATTGAGAGTTAACTGACTTTGATAATAAATTTAGGTTCAAAAAACTCATCTGGGAAATAATCGGTTCAATAATAATCCTGGACTTTTTTTGACACTTTTAATCAAGTTAGAATTTGTGACTATAAACCAAGAATTTAACAAGACTAACCGACTATTAAACAAATGATTATTAAAACTGTAACTATAAATAAAACCTTAAGTTAAATCAATGCATTTAAAAATATTGATAAATTTGTTGGTTGTCGTTATTCAAAATTACTTTTAACACACATTATACTACTATAAGTATTTAGTGATACTTCAATGTATAACATTAGTACATTGGCTGTTTAAACTGATATACTGATTATAAACAAATTTGTTATTTTTACTTGTTTTATTAAAACTGTAATATTAAATAAAACATTAAGTTTTTATAATAACTTTAAGAATATTGCCTGTTTTATGGGATGTTTAGGGATTATTTATTTAAGCTAAAAATTTTGACATAACTAGCGCCATAAATCCAAAACAATAAAATGACCATGATGCTAATGACGGGGCCCCGGAACATGTGATGGCGTGATAGTGGTATTCTTCGCAATCATTTTCATTGTATTGATGAACATTTTTCCATACATTCTCCTCGAGAGCTCTTTTCTCTACTGACGTACACTTTGCCTGAAATTAAATGCAATTAAAATTAAAAATAAATAATTAAAAAACTAGAATAATATTATTTTAAATACAGATTAAAATAAACTAGCACAAAGTAAGCAACAGAAGGGCGTGGTCATATAAAAAAAATACACATATCTATTGTGTTAACTATGATTACACTTACCTTTGCCTCCCGTTTGGCGCAATCCTGTGCTGTCCATATGTAACAACACATTTCCCGCCGGTTATCCTCGTTGTACTGCTGGCCACTCTCCCGCATACACCTGACCACATCATGGCGAATTTTCTCCCTACATTGATGAGCTAGGTGATGGCCAAAATGCAGCGCTTGACCCTGTTTAAAAATCTGGTTATGATCATAACCCGCACTGTATGTACATATTATGACCACGATGAATAATTTGCAAATAATCATCATGTTGATTGACATTTTGATTACCAAAACAATTCAAAACATAACACTTGAAATGAAGGTAAAATTTTTAGTTTTCATTAATATGTATTGTTTTATTACAAAACTTTGTTTAATGCTATTGTAATCTCCATTTCTCGGTATATGTGTTTACGACAATAAAGTTTACACTTTGTAGTTGTAATTCATTATCATTACTATTAGTGATTATCGGTAGCTCATGGTTGTTTAATTCTGTGTATTAATATATGTCAGATAAATAACAGGGGCATTTTATTCTGGCCCCTCCAATAGTATAAAGTAGATATATCTCAATTCTGTATGTAGCCTGCACATGTAAGCTCTTAGATAATAAAACTTACTTACTTTTACGTACAATATGTTTGCAGAATACGCGACAATTAATTTATATTATTTATTACACGTTTATAGTTATGCCTTACAATAGGTTTAATTAAAAATGTTAGTGAAGTGAATAAATAAAAATAAACTCAAGTGAATATCAACTTATATGAGTTTGATTTATTCAATGTTCAATATGTTTATTATTAATGATTTATTATTGAATACTCAAATGATATTAAAGTATTTAGAAAAAACTCTATAATATAAATCTTTGTAATTTTGAGCAATTAACACAAATATATTTAAATAATTTTTATACAGATATTCAAATTTAAATAACAATTATTTAAAAATGTTTTATATATTATTTAATTAGCAATATTCGTTGATGATGACCTAAAAAATTAATAAGCAACTATAATAGTAAATACAATACCATCAAATTGTTAATTTATGATTAGAGAAAGCAAAATTTTAAATCCAAATATAATAGTTTTATTTACCATGATATATTAATAAATATCACAACAGAATATGTTTTAGTAGTTATTGCTTCATAATTACAGTCTATTAAATAAAATTTATTAAGTGATTTTGAAATATAAATAAATTTTATTCTACATTGTATGTGTTTTATAATGTTTCCTTTAAATTCCATTTACAATTTTAAACAAAGCATTTTTAGCGAGGTAAAAATTAACGACTAATGCAATTAACTAATATATTATTAACCATCATAATAGCTAAATATTGTTTTAATAATTTAATATCTAGCTAGTTGTTTATTAACTAAAGTACAATTTTAATTGACATTTAAAATTGTACTTTAGCTAGGTACTATATGGACTTTAGGTATTATATTACATTACAATTAGGTTATGCAGTCATTGTCTTATACGTAATAAGCATAAATATACTTTTAGCAAATTTTTAATGCAATAAAATAATTGTTTTTAATGTGCAAAACAGTGGCACTAATGCTATTGTGTTATGAGATTATAATAATTAAGGATAAGATTTAATTGTTTGTAAATCACTTGAAAATAAATACTATAAGCTTAATAACATCACAAGTATTTAATTATTAGCGACTCATATAAAACATACTTTTATAAATTTAGCCCCTTTGTAATACAATATTAAATAAATCATAGGTAAAAATAATTAATAAAACACCAACATTCATTTATAATTTCAAGTTTTTGTGGATGGCTAATTAAAATTTTTTTATGGTACTTAACACTAATTAATAAAATAATCTTATTTAATGTCAAAAGTCCAGTTAGTAAATATAATATCTACTATTGTGATACAAATTGCTTTATAATTAGTCATTTAAACCAATAATTATTGCAAAATTATCGCGACTATATAGAAATAAGTTGAATCTTGCACCCCTAAAAATCAATGTGATCCTGATTTAAATGCGATAAAACTAATTTTTACCAGGTATAAATATAGCTCCACAAATAAATTTAGTTTATTCGCTAATGTTTAATTTACTCATATTAAACAATATTCTTATATCATAGTTATACTGTGTTTTCTGAGAAAAAAATGATCTATATCAAAATATGCTTGTTGTTTGTGCTGGCTCACTATGCTCTAGGAGATGCTGTTGACGATTTGAACAATGATGATTGTTTTACGCAACTTGCACCGGATAGCTTTACCTGCACCAAAGGTAAAGTGCCCGACTTTGATGGTACTAAACTACAGACAGATTGTGGTATTGCGGACATTGAAATTAGGTGTTGCGCGTTGGCTGTGTTCTACGATTGTATGATCACAAGTCCCAAGGTAAATTTTGTGATTCATATAGTGTATATAATGTTGCTATTTTTGCCATATTAATTTGCTCTGTTAATTTACCAAATTAATGGTGTTATTTTAACAATATGGTACAATGATGATAGTTTTTTATGTTTGATTAATTGGATATTTTTAATTTAAATGCAGAAACAAGAAGATAAATGCAGACCAAATGAGGATGTGAAACCTTTTGATAATATGAAAACTAAACTGGATAGTTTGAAAAAAGACCTTGATGCGGACATGTGCAAATTATACAAATATAAACCCGGACTAGATAAATGCGTAAAAACAATACAAACTACCACACCATCATCATCATCGTTGATTCAGAATTCATTATTTACAATGATTTTTGTATTTGTAGCTAGATTAACTGTTCAAAACTAATAGTGTAACGTTAGTTAACAAAAACATCAAGTTATTTTTTAAAATAAAAATTATAGAATAAATATTGTTTTTATTTATTATTTTATTTGTAGAGTCACTAACATATATTTATACACATTAGTGTTTAAAAAATTAGTATTTAAATAAATAATATTAACAGTGTTTACAAATTTTAAGTCAAGTGAATTGTTTTTAAATTGTTTGTAATTTTCTTATTTGTAGGTAAATTATTTATGTGATATTATTAAAATGTTTACAAAACATTATGTTATCTTTAAAATGATAAATGTAGATTAAATTTTGTATTTTGCTATTTTCCCCAAATTTATTACAAGATAAATAGCACTAGGCGTAATTTATATCTGGCATTAATTTTAACTTTTTGATAAACAAATTTAATAAAAATGCATATCAAATAATCGATAGCATAAAACGATGTGATTTATTTAAAATATTAATAAATAATAAATTATTAAAAATTTAAATGTGTATTCAAAGTAAATTATAACTTTAACACATGTTGAAACAGACTGTAACCTATCTTGTAATTTAATAAATTTATGTATTTAGTAATGATTGATTTTTTAATATGGAACGTTTACCTATAGCGCTTTGATGCCTATTACCTAATAATAATATTTAATTTGCTTAATTTATTACTTAATTTTTACATTTAATGTATGATAATTATAAACTTTTATAGAAATGTTTGTACATAAAAGAATATGTTTTATAAAAATATTATGAAATAAAGTAAAATATTTATAGATAATTAAAATAAATTATTAAAAACTGATTAAATAAAAACAATATAAAATGTTATGAAACACAAATCCTTAAACATAAATGTACGTTAAGTCAAACACTATTACAATTATTAAAATAACACTACGGTAAAAAACTACTAAAATTATCACATTGTTTAATTTAAACTAAATCAATATTTCATTAACTTTGGTCAACACTTTCCTCAACATTAGGTTCACTAATCGTCGACCCATTTCTTATACAACAACAAAAAATTTTAGTCTTAAAAAATTGTCTAAATTTGTCCGGATTTTCACTATAAGTCTTATTAATGGCAATAATGACTATCGAAACAGTTATAAGCGCCGCCCCGAGCAGTGATGTCCAGGCTATGGGCTCCACAAAAATAGCCACTTCCCAGATAAAGGCCAACACTATATTAAAACTTCTGGTTACAGATATAGGGCCCGGACTCTCGTACTGAAAGGCCATTGTCTGAAACATCTGATTGACAACACCGGCCGCCCCGATGGCCACCAACAGTGACCACGTGTACAGATCGCGGGGCAGTACCCACCGGTCCAGGAATGGTAGCACACAATTGCCAATCACTACCACCGCTATTGAATACCACATGACTATTACAGGAACGGGTGTTGACTTGAGTTTGCGTAGATTTATGAGCGAATAGGCCGACGTGATGGCCGCCCCTATGGACAGAGCTATGCCTATTAGCCGGTGCTCGTAGTGGTGTTTGTGGTGATGTTTGTTGTGGCCAAATAGAAACTCGGGCCGGCATATGATGAATACCCCGATGATTGTGATCGTACCGGTGGTCACGTGTACAACAGTTATGCGCTCTTTGAGTATAAAGTAGGCAAAAATGGTGACGAATACCGGCGATGACATGTATAGAGTCATGGCGTCCGACAGTGGCATTAGCCTGAATGCCATGTATAGGGTGACCAACGACGCCGTACCCGATACACACCGCAGGAACAGATCTAAACGACTTCCCGGTGGACCAAAAAATGGGTACCTTTTGGCAATTGTTATGATGAAGTATGGGATGAATTGAAACACGCATCTAGATTTTATAATGTAAAAATTAATAAATTAATGTGACTGGTAAGAATTTTATTTTTAAAAGAGATAACTTACCTAAATATAAGTATTTCAACGGCAGGTAAATGTTTTAATAATTTAACAATAAGTGACGCCACAGAAAACATTGTAACTCCTATTTATACAAATTGATAATATTTATTTATATTTGATCAAATCAAATCAGACCATAATCAAATAATACCTAATAGAGCGCATAGTATACCAAACGCCGGTACCTTTTCAGGTATGGATGCTATAAACCGGTGAATGGGATTCAGTGGTGGAGAACTGACCGCATTTCCCGGACTGTCATCACTGGCCTCCACATCAATAACTGGATCCGAGCTTTTTGTTATGTCATTCATTGTAATATTTTTATTAATAAAAGTATAAAATGTAATAAGATAAAAAACAATTAACAGTAGAATTGTGCATGATACAAATGTGTGCTCACTTTAAATAGTTGTACGGTATCTCTCGTGCCATCACTTTGTTATTGAGTTATAACATGTATGTTGTTTGATAATAATTAAACTTATATCTCGGTCTGGATTAATCTTCCCACTTTTCAAACTGTTATGCAGTATACCTAGGGGGAAAATTATTGGAAAATTAATTGGCAATATTTTGAGTTTGCTGATAATACTGATTTATTTCTGAGAATTTTTGAATTTTTTACCAGGCCACATATTCGCATCCAGTTTGAACTGCACTGTTTATCATTGTAATATAAATTAAATAGATTAATATAAATATAATAACATGCTTTATTATTATGGATTTTATTATACCGTTGTTTATAATATAATCATTAAATCCACATGGTTTAACAGCGTTGACCATGTCAAAATACTGTTTTGTTTATAAATAATAAAAATAATATCTAATATATAAATAAATCTTAAAACAATAACTTATGAGTCAATATACCATGTTTTAGGACTCATGTTTTTTGATCAAGATAAAATGTACCAATATTTATAGAGATATTAATAAATAGAGATAAAAATTAATAAATTATTACTTATACCTTAATCAATTAATAATGTACTATTATTATTATATTTTGCACAATGACAATAGAAATTTAACTTTATATCACAAGACATTATTATAACATTTGATTAAAAGTATGTTTCATTATTATGTTGTAAACTGTTTACTAGTAATATAACGTCATTACCACGATTTGTATTACACTAAATTACAGTAATATTTACTTTTACCTATTTATTAATAAACGACTTTGGAATGTATAAATATTTTTAATAAGCATAAAACACATTGATAGAAATATTAGCCATAAAATTATTAGTAAACATGTTAATTATTATTGATTACTTTACAATTATTATATAGTCAAAATAAATGACTAATTATTTTAAATTGTTTAAAAATCTATTTCATTTATAAGATTTATTGTTTGATGTTAACAGTTGAAAAATAAATATACAAAAGTATATTATATTAACTGATTAAATATAATGATAACAAATAAACACAACTACATAGCAGGTAGTTAACATTGGTTGCTAACATTGTTACTTATTGTAATTAATAAAGTTGTGTAATAGTAGAGGTGTATGAGGGGATGATAATATAAGTTACATTATAAGATAATAGCTTATACATTTATAATATTATTAATATAACTTTAATTTAAAATTTAATGCTTTTAATCAGGGTAAACAGTATTGTAGCTTTATATATAAAACATGTGTGGTTGCCTTATTTATGTTGCATACTGTAAATCAATCAATGTATTATTATTCGTTTATATAATGATAATTATTTAATTTATAATGGGAATGGTCATATACAGCATAATATTATTATTTTAATAAAATTTCTCTTAATATGCTTAAATATTTTAAATTATTAAGTTAAATACTCTAAACTAATTTTTATAATATTGTAAAACAATGATTCATAAAATATAACAATTATTGTAATTATTGAATAACTGGCTAAAAATGTGTTAAGTGATGCTTTTACTTCAAATCATAAATATAGATTATTAGAAATAATTTAAATTTTAATAAATAAAATTGCTTTACAAACTGTATTTTTTGCATTTATATATCAAATGTTGAATCATGATTTTAATTAATATGTATTTAATGAGCGAGAAATAATTATAATATCATTATAATGAAAATCACATGATTTGTTACATCAATGCGGCCTTTCCATCTGATCTCGCAACATTATCAGTACATTATTTATTTTACTGAATTGGTCATTTAGTAAAATATTATTTACCATTTATTAGATAATATTATTAGAATAATATTGTTTAATTAAACTGCACTACACTTATATTAAAGTATTTAGTTGTATTGTATTACTGAAATAACTACCTAAGTCAATTGTAATATATTTATATTTTTAAGATTCACAGAAAATAGATGGTCTAGTTACATATGAATTATAATTGTTTTTAAATGATTAATTAAAAATGCAGTAATAATTTTCTCAAAAACATGATTTAATGTTTATTACTTTAGTGCATTTAATGTAATAATTATGGTAATTATAATTGAAACCCCTAAATCGTAATATTGATTACAATAATTATATAATAGCACCTGTACAGAAAATATAATAATGTTTAGATAATACTGCATAATAATTTAATAATTATAAATTATATATTAACTAAAACATATGGTAGTTATATTTTTGCCCATGAACAAATACACTAATAAAGCTATTGTGTTCAATTTCAAATACAGTAAAAATTAACCAGATAAAATACAACTAAAGATAATTTTCTTTTAAACACAATTCAAAATTTGCTAAATTTTTATCTGGTTAAATTTTATTTATAAAGTTTGTTAAATGGCTCAAAGTAATTTTTAAAATAAAACCTAGTAAGTGTAAGAGACAATTTTTATCAATAAATGTTGCCATATGTCAATTTTATAGAAAATGCAAGTACAAATGATATAGTTACATGCATAGCAACACTATCTTTAAATAAGAAATAAATTTAGAGAGAGAGAGAGAGAGAGAGAGAGAGAGAGAGAGA